ATTTTACCTCTCGGAACCAGCTTTCGAAAATTAACTTAGTTATATTTGAGCGTGGAGAAAACTAAGTTAACTAAATAATTTAATCGTTTATGCATAAGATATATACGAGTATAAATACCAGTATATACATGACACTTAGATTAATGGACACACACTTATTATTACATACGCGTTGGTTTTACGAATTCATTATTGCACAATTGGTTGATAAATATGAAACTGAATTAAGGCAAGTAAACCCAGATGTTTAACAGTAGCGTAGGGGTCGTGAAACTTGCCCTTTGTTTCTATAAAGGTACACGAAAGCCTACACATTCTGTGAACGATACAGAGACCGCAAATAATTAGTAAAAGGGCCGCATAATCAATAAGGTCTGAACGTGTTAAGCTTGTGAAGTAAGCTTTCATTTGAAAGTTAAAATTAGTCCTTAGACCTTGAAATAAATGAATGAAACTTTAGTCTAACAAATGTCTGCGACTTGTGATTACAAAAGTTTAGTTTTTGCACAAACACTAATTTTAATGTCAAAGCTTTTAATTAAGCTTTTTACATTACGTGAAAAAGTAACCTTCTAATCAAATTCAGTTTGAAATAAATGTGTTAAATTACTGCCAGCCATAAACTAAAACATTGAACCAAGTAGCATAATTCATTTTCTGATATGTTAATACAATTTTCAATTTTTTTAAACAAAATTAACTGTTTTATTCCAATCATCATTACCAGCTTTATTTCAAGATGTCAATGCTTTTATGATTAATAGATAAAAATCATCTGTGATAATGAAAACAGATATAACCTCTAAGCAATACAGTAGCGAAACAAATAACAATAGCCATCGATAACTTTATCTAGGTTCCTCTTTATTAGTCGTTGACTTGTCAAAATAAAACAACCTTCTACAAATAGACGAATTACGAATTCTGGAGAACCTTTCGGACCTCAAACTTTACACAGCCTTAAGTGAAATTGAGAACCGAATGTTGTGTTAAAGGGTAAAAGAATGGAATAACTACCACTTTTACCTTTTTGTATTTCACCATTAACAAAACATATAGATTGGTAGATGTAATCAGAGATATATTTTAAAATTATGTAACGTTCAAAGATTGAAATTATCGATAAGAACTTTTTTAATTAAGGCCGCTTCGGATTTCTTGAGGCTGTGTTATAATCCCACAAGAACAAGGTAAATTTTACTCGTACATAATAAATGTAATAAGCTAAATTTAAAGGGAAATTATTTAATAATGTATTTCGAAGTTCGTCCTTGTTGAGTCTACATAGATTCGAAGCAAGTTTTTAAAAAATAAATATGTATTATAAGAAGTTTGCTAAGTGATTGAACATAAATAAATCACAGACGCTTTGACGAAAATTTAATAAAAGTCAAGACATTAAAATCGACATGAGAGTTACTCTGACTGAAAAGTCGTAAATTTTTCATAAGCATATTGACACGAAGAATGTTGAAATATTATTTTAAAGGTCGTGAAGCTTATTTCTAATTCAATTAGGATACGAATTTTATGTCACTCTTGATTTATCTAAACAATGTAAAATACATGAATTATAGAGCAAATACATTTTTCCATTATAAGGGACTATTAGTTTTCTCTATATGGATGGCTAGGTGGCTATTTGTTTTAAGCGCCATAAGTTTAAATGTTCAGCAAATCCTGAAAATAATTCCAATTCCAAATGTCGAAGAAATTCGCTTATTATATGCGAATTTTATGTCTACGTAAATATCGGCTAAA